ACGCTGAAATCGAGTTGTCAGTTGTGCCGCTGCTGCAACACAGCTCGTCCAAATCACCAACTAAACTAGTGGGCGGATCGCTTTTGGGGCGGAGCGCTTTCGAAGTCCTGCTCAGCAACCAGCGCACCTTTCGTCGTGAAAGCGCCACACCTCGCTTCCTTGGCAGCCAAGTAACTGCTTCGTGTGGTGCATATGCTTCCCCGATGCGCTCCCTCTTTATCGTAGTCGCTTAATTCAATTTAGTACAAGGGGCGACACAGATTCTAACTTTACAAAGGTTTTGAACTGATTAAAACCACATTTACGGTTTTAGGTAAGGAGAGTGTCAATCTCCAGTGGCATACTAAGCGTCCATAAATGATAATGTTTAGCAACGATAAGGAAACTGGCACCACATCACGAGGTCCGTTAAAAATCATATTAACCCGTTCGCGACGTTGATACCTATAACAGACGAGCTTTGAAAGAAATTTTTGTTAGGTGTTTTTGTGTTAGGTAATTTTTGTTAATTTGCTGTTACGTTTTCTGAAAATATTTTTCTACTGAAAACAAAAAAATCTTCATAACTTCATTGGTCTGCGCTAGCCTCGGACAAGGAAATCTTCATTCACTTAAGATTTTATTGGAGAAACAAAATTACCTCTAAATTTCGCCCACATACAGCTAGAAATTCAGAAATACACATTGAAGCACACCCCATAGAGATCACTCTAATGCTAAACTGCTCCATGAATGAATGTCACATTCGTTCTCAAAATCACCAATATCCTCTGCATTCAAATTTTTGTAACTTGGTGAAAACAGGGGTAGAACCATTTTGGCGCCAAATGGTTCAATGTGGCGCCAGTGCTTAAAATGAACTTTAAGATCAGTTATCCCATAGTTAGGGGGAACGATTTATTTTCCCATTTCTTTCTATCTCAAAAATGGGTCGTGAGGGACAACACCACCACCGATGGGTGAAATTTTGGAATTGCTTAAATTTATTAGCCCTTTGGAGAAGTGTACAACACAGAAAACTAAGTTGTTAAACCCGTACTGGTCGGAACAAGCGATCAAAGACATTGGGGCTCTATTTCGTTCGCTCTCGAACCTGAACGTTGAGGGATTATCGTTGAGGCAGTGAAGAAGGAAGTGTGAGAAACTGCTCAGAACTGGCGAGTAGGACCCCTCATAGTCTTCAGATTCTGAAAGCTGGATGAGGCTACTCGATTACGGTAGCTACGCCCGTCACAGTGACACTGTGCTTTGATTCACATTGTCAGGTGCAAAGATTGGATCGCAGGGGTGGAAAGACCAGCGGCTGGGACAGCTGTTGGGAACGAATTCTTCCTAGCATAGTGGGAAATTAGTAGGATCATGTCAAATTGCTTCAAGCGAGACACTCCATACGCTCCTAACTTCCCTGTAAAGAGATCAAATTTCCCTTCCAGAACAGCCATCTTACTGCATTCATTTTCCCATGAATTGGTTCTAAATTCAGTCTTTCCAAACCCACAGCTTATCCTTTGAACAATAGTGAGTTCTGAGTTTAGAACAAATGAATTTAGAACCAATTTATTGGCCCTTTGGAGAAGTGTACAATACAGAAAACTAAGTTGTTTTCGATTGTCGTACTCCAAAGCTTCAAGCGTCGCTTTTCACTGCCAAAGCATGCTAATCAGCTCATCAAGCTGTATATGTGAGCGCTGATATGCTATAGTAAATAGACCATTAAACGCTGAGTTAACGTGAAATGGGTCCTGGTAGTGTGATTGGTAAAACATTATCAAACGTGAGATTTGGGTTCGAACCCCGTCAGGGGTGAAGACTTTGCCCATAACTCAGCATTCTTGTGATGGCTACGTTGAAAGTTCTGCGGAGAAGGACGCTTGGAAACCAACCGAACATCTAAAGAAATTGGCTGGATATACATATAAACAGCAATCCAGGATTCATTGGATGCGACGAGCAGATGGATAGAAGTTT